CATAATTTCAAACTGGACCCGACATTCTCTTTCATAGTATTCCATTCTATTTATTCATCCCACATACTACAATTACTTGCTAATTATTTGTTTCCTTTTATAATACCCGTCTTCCCCATTTAAAGTTCATGAAAGCAGTAGCTATATACATATATAACCACTGTGTACTACACTTGGCAGAAATTATTAAACAAATGGCTATTGCCCTTCTGTTTCTCTGGCCACTATAGCCTGAGATTTCCTCTTTCATAACACTTACAGAAGGGGCATTCTTAGTAATAACTCTTTTATTTCACCTGGCCATACTTACAATAGGCTCTGCCCATGAGATGTCCTGGAACTCAGATATTTGTCTGCACACACATGGTTCTTGCACTCTCAGGTTTGAAGAGCACCCTGACCTCCTCCACCTTGTGAATCCAGAGGTGAAGAAAGGCCTTCTTGTGGAAGAAAGGCATGTGGAAAACTATGCCCGGAGCATGGTTACAATACTGGGGACTTGTCACACAGCCACCCACCCACCATGTCTCCAGCCAAGCAGTTCTCTAAGGTGGTCTAGAATGCATCAGAAATGAGGTGGCCAAGTGCAGTAGGCAAGCATGTATGCCCTGTAGTTACACTGCCTGAGTCAAGTCCTTCATGCACCACTTACTGGCCATGCAGCTTCTGACAAGTTTCTAAACTGTCAACCATGGTCACTGACACCAATTCAATGCCAACAGGAATCCCTAATTTGGGGTGTGGTGAAGGAGCAGGTTTATTCAGTGCAAACAGCTCAATTATGATACACCATGGCTATGGAACGGCTCAAATATTACAGTTCAACTATGAATCAGCACAGCTGTGGAACAGCATGGCTGTAAGATGGCCCCTCTCCAGTTAGACGGATCTGCTTTGCTCTGGTCCCAGAAGTCTTCAGCGTTTCAGCTCCAGCTGGGAGAAGTTTTTAGTCTTCCATGGAAAGGGAAAGTGCCCTCTCTCATGCTGGGGTGTGGAGGTGTGAGTGTGTGGGTGTTGACTTACAGAGAAGTCCCAGTCCCTGGTCCCTGACTGGTCCATTCTCATGCAAATGAGTCCATCTTCAGTTTGATTGGTCCAAAAAGCACCATCCTGATTGGTCAGATTGGAGCTGTTCTGATTGGTCAGTGAATATGCTAATGAGGCCATAGCTGCACAGCTCTGATTGGACAGGAAAGTCTCAGTCCTACTGGTTGAAATACAATTCCAGAAATTCCTTTAGAAGGGCTGGCTCAAACAACAGGAACAAAGAGCAGGCAGGCAGTTCAGTGCAGGTTTCTCAAGTGCAGCTTGTATGAGAAACCCGTTTAGCAATGGCTGCTAGGCTCTGTTTATAAATTTGAGCCCAGTTAACTACTAGGAGCCCTCCTCAACAGGTACATTCATTCTCAGGATCAACAACACTTTTCTTCAACCTTCAAGAGGGGATAGTAGAAACAATCTCAATAATTTTGAGGATTACAAGGACCGTGATATATGGCATTCAGGGCAACACATAGCACAGGGAGGGTACATCTGCACGACCAAATCCTGGCACTTGCAGAGAATGACCATTAACACAACTGAGGAATTCTTAAGTGAGAGAAACAGTCAAGCTTTGTATTTCTTTTCACTTTACAAGCTGGTATAAAAATATTAAAAGTAAAAATATTACCAAAATATATATTTAGCAGGATTTGAGGTTGGCCAAGAAGCTGGGAACCTTCCTGCTGCAGGTGGGAGTTTTGTTTCCACATTATCCTGCTGGCCAATCCAGTGGTTTATGGGAGGGCAGCACAAAGTGAAAACTGAAAAATGAAGGTAAGGAGAGGAACTGGATAGCTGGAGGCTACCTGTTCTTAGATTAAAGTCATGTTTAAGGGAATTGTTTTCTTAACCTAAGGCATTCATGCAGCTTAGGGCTAATTCATTCCAAGCCTGGGGCTCAGGCACAGTATCCTTTAAGACTGAGTCTGCTGCAAGGTCAAGGTACTCTTTTACAAGCAGTTGCTGAATATGGAGGAAGGCAACATCCTAGGGAGATGCTGCTGTCAAAGCCAGGCCAACTCAGGTGGACAGGGAGAACCCAGGTGCAAAGTCAATCAGCTGGAGATGAGTAAGACCTGACAAGAGAAGGATTAGACAAATTTAAAAGGGGAAACTTGGAGGAATTCTTTTCTCCTTAAGAGCAGTTTCAGTGACTGTTCATGGGAGCCCATAGGTACTGAAGAATGTACCGAAACTTAGATGCTAATCCTCTACTCAAACCCTCCCTGAGAAGACTGCAGTTGGCACTTCCAAAATACACAAGAAGAGCCCTGGGGGAGTGGGGAAAGCCTATTTCTTTGGCTCACAGATTAGCTAGAGTAGAGGTGAGGGGGTGGGGAGACTGGCTGACATAAGTCCAGCACTTCCACTGCCATGTGCAGATTCATCGTCTGGAGACGGCAGTCACGGGTGTGCTGAGTTTTCTGCACGACATGGGGCAAGTAGTGGGAAATGGGCTAAATGTGCTGAGGATGATAGCTTATCACCGCTCAGACTCTAACCCTGACAGGTGGGTCCCAGCGCTCCTCACCGATCCCAGTCAGTGTCTACGTGGCCAATCAACAAGACTAGGAAAGCAAGATACAGAGCGAACTGCTCTTCCCAGGAATTTCTCATGTCTTCACCGCTCCCTGGAGATCTAGTGGTTAGGATTCAGCACTTTCTCTAATGTCTTGGGAGTAAACTGGCTAAGGGTGGGGTAGAGAAAAGTCCCTCTCAATAACTGCTGAAATCTTGTCTAACACCTTGCAGATCCATTGGCAGAAGAGAAGGTAGCTGAGGAACTCTATCTCAGGTTTTAATGCACTTTTAGGAGTGAGCCAAAGGTGATGTTCGGGCAGGTCAGACTGCCCAGGCAGAATCATACTGCTTCAGACTAGAAAAATACAGAATAGCACCCAGGCGAATGCTGACTCCCTCAGTTGAAGTCATAGAGTCAGGTGTTAATCAGATGGAAGACTTTAATAAAGCTACTGCTAAAAGCCTGGTTAAACAGGATTATCATGAACACATCCAGGTGGCCCAGGCAAATCTAATAGACCATTTACTTTTCCCCTTCCAGACAGGGATGAGTGAACAGGCATTTCAGAGGTCTAATTTCATCAAAACCCAAGCCTGACAGGAGGTGGGTCAGGGAGAGGACTGCACTGATTGTGGCAGAGGAGCTGCTGGAGATGTCACTGGGATGAACGAGGCTCTCAGTGACAGCGGGTTTTGGTCCTAGCTCAACAGCAGGCACATACTGAGTGGTGGTAACTCTCATTAAAACAAATAAAATGAACAACAAACTCAGTTTAGAAAAGTGTTTCTCAGGGATCCAAGGTAAGAGGGTGAGAGCTGGGACCAGACAGGCCATATGGATAGTACTGAGGGCAGACATCTAGCGGTGAGCATCTAACCTAGTTTATTGTGGAATTTGGGGTTGCCAGCCACTCGAGGCTCCAGACAGACATGCCCAGGGCACAGTTAGTCCCAAGTAACCCTTTGAAATGCTGCTTCACCTGCTGCTTAACAGGGAGAGAGTATGAGTCGCTGCTTACCTAACAGGTGACCTTTATTAAATGGAAGCCAAATTTAGAGAACTTGGGCTCTAAGGCTGCGGGAAGCTTCATGTCTATGTTTAACCTGGAGCCACTGATCACACCATGACACAGAATATCCTCTTCTGTAACTTGGAGCTGAGATGCAGCATTCGTAGGAGCCAGCAGGTTGCCCAGTGTGATGCAGAGCACTTCCACAGACCAGGAACCTACCACTTTGCTCCCTAGAACAACAGTTTCCTTGCTCTTCCATCTTCATGATGTGGAATGTTCCAGCCTGCAACAGTGTGGGCTCCCCATTCTGTGGTGGGGAAGAGGAGAGTGCCAGCAGAGGCTGTGTGTGTGAAGACATACAGATACTATTTTATCTCTCTGATTTCTATTGGAGCATTGAAGGATTAAAGATAGAGAAGGAACTGTACCTGCAAGACTAGAGTGTCACATTAACTTTTGGGCATAGACACTGCCCCTGCCAGAGAATGCCATGGTGCTGCTGACCGCTTCCTGATGCATGGAATTAGTCAACATGTTGCTCAACAGTCAGAATGGGACAGACTTTAAGTAGTGGAATACATAGATGGAGGAGACGAAGTGGCCACTTTCAAATGCAAAAGCAGAAATACAAAGCTCTCTGATTTTCCTGTTAATACTTTCAGAAAACTAGACAAAGGCAGGGCAACCAGAATGCAGTTCAATATTCTGGGAGTAACAATATACTCTAATGCAGGGGCCAGTGAGGACTGCCCAGCTGAGGAAGAGTGGGTCAGAGCCCTCTGAGAACTGGCCTTGGGGCTCCAACCTCTCATGTCAGTTGCACATCAGGAAATGGCAAGTCACAAAAGTGGAGGTGACCTAAACCACTAGCAGATGGCTGGGATAGTCACACATCTGAGCATGCCCCTGCCTGCTCTATGTAGAGTGAACTGCAGGACAGAATTGAAGGGTAATGTTCACACAGACCAAGCCCTTACTTTAGGTATCACCCCAGGGTCAGAGTCAAGCTGAGGCCCAGAAGAACTGCCTCCCAGGCAGAGGTCCTGAGTTCTGAAAGCTGCATTTGGGTGCAATATCCACAATCATGGACTGTGTATGAGGTGGGGTTGCCACATCCCCCAAGGGCAAATGGGGTGGTAGCAAATGACACAATGTTACCAGTTTGGAGCTGCTAAATCAAGAGGGACACACCATTCAAATGAATCATCTGAGATGGAAAAGGCAAGTAGGAAGCCATTGGACACACAGGCCAGCAAGATGTGACGACAATGTTGGAAGCAGATGGGGAGCATAGTTTAAAGTCCTGGGGTGATGCATAAGTGAATGCATTTTCTTTACTCCAGGTGTCAGTAGTGCAGGTGAGAACAAAGAGTTCTATTGAAGGCAGAAACCCTCTGATATAAGAAAATCAGTAGAGTGAAATGCTTGTAGACAATTTATTTACTTTCTTGTTCCTTTGCTTCTCAGCCTTAATTTTTACACTTTTATAATTTCTCTTAATAGTCAAAAGGTAAATTTGATAAACTAATTTCTATGTTGTTAATGAAGCTCCATTTTGGTTCTGATACTTGGTAATTCAAACTGATTACACAGTACTGCTATTCAGATGAGGCAGTTCTGAACTATGAAGACTGTTTGACATTCTTAAATTTCAAAACTCACAATAATACCATAAAGCTTGCTTCTCAGTAAATAAAATGACTATCTTATGTAAACATTCATGGTTATTCTCTAGAATGGATTCTCTTCCATTCAATAGTTAATATACTCAGTCTCAAAGCTCTTCTTTATAAACTGCAATCATATCACTTTTCTCCAATATGATGTCTCTGATGCTGAATGAGGTTTGCAGTCTGGTTGAAGGCTTTCCCACATTTATTACATTTATAAGGTTTCTCTCCCGTGTGAATCCTCTGATGTTGAGTAAGGTGTGTGCTTCGGATAAAGGCTTTCCCACAGATTTTACATTTGTAAGGTTTTTCTCTAGTATGAATTCTCTTATGTTGAGTAAGGGCTGAATGGTCACTGAAGGCTTTCTCACATATATTACACGTATATGGTTTTTCCCCAGTATGAATTCTCTGATGTTGAGCTAGGGCTGATTGGTCCCTGAAGGCTTTCTCACACAAACCACATCTGTAAGGTTTCTCTCCAGTATGAATTTTCCGATGTCGAGCAAAGGATGAATTATCTCTGAAGGCTTTCCCACACTCATTACACTTATAAGGTTTCTCTCCAGTATGAATTCTCTGATGTTCAGTGAGGGAAGAATTCACCCTGAAGGCCTTTCCACACTCATTACATTCAAAGGGCTTCTCTCCAGTGTGAATTCTCTGATGCTGAAGAAAACTTGTACTCTGATTGAAGGCTTTCCCACATTCAATACATTTATAGGGCTTCTCTCCACTGTGAATATTCTGGTGTTTGGTAAGATGTGCCCTGCACACAAAGGCTTTGTCACATACGTTACACTTAAAAGGTTTCTCTCCAGTATGTATTCTATGATGGTGGGCAAGGTGTATGTTTCGGATAAAAGCTTTTCCACATAAGTTGCATTCAAAAGGTTTCTCTCCAGTGTGAATTTTCTGGTGATAAGTAAGTGAGGAGCTCACTGAGAAGGCCTTGCCACATTCTTTACATTCATATGGCTTCTCACCAGTGTGAATTCTTTGGTGATGGATGAGGTGTGTACTCTGGTGAAAAGCTTTTCCACACTCTCTACATTCATAACGTTTCTCTTTAATAAGAGTTTTCCGATTTGCATTAAGTTTTTCAGTATGAATTTTCTGATGTTTATTAAGGGTTAAACTCTTAGTGAAGACTTTTCCATACTCACTACACTCTAAGGCTTTTTTGTTAGTTTGAAATTGAAATCCCTGACTTTCAACAAAAGGTGAGCTCATGGTACAGTGCTTCCCAGATTCATCACATTCCTGGTCACTACCCATAGATGACGTTTTTTGGTGAGCAAGCATTACTTGCTGCAACTTTATCTCCTGGCCTCCATGCTGCCATTCCAACAGGTCATCATATTTCCAGTGACTATCTCTAGTGAATCCTTCCTTTATCATCCACTGACCCAGTTCTTCTTCAGGAATATCTACCTTGAGAGTAGATTTCTTACTCATAGGCATAGTCATCCAGTCTGAAAAACATCAAAAATAAAAATGTCTGTTTTATCTTAGTAAATCATCAAGTTGGGATAAGAAGGTAAGCCTGTTTATAATGCTAAAAAAGCGGTTGCAGTTTTGAAGATTTCTTGAAGTGAAGAAAGGAAAGGAGAAGAAAGGTGAACAAAGAACACAGCAGGAAGAGGTTGATCTAATGTATAATGTATGAAGCAGGAGATCTTGGGACCTTGAGTTCAGAAGTCACAGGCCTGGGTTGGGATCCTGAGTATAATAGTTATTTTATTTGTGATTGCAGAGAAGTTACCTGACTTTCCTAGTCTAAAAAACAAAACAAAAAACCTACACAGACCACACTATGCTAACAGATAAGAAAAAAATGTGCCTTGTTTATTTTAGTAATATGGTTTTAAAAATAATCCTGATATGACCTTAAGAAACCATTGAAACTAGAGGCAATACTTGGAAGAAAAAAATTAAGCTCCAAAGTAACTACTAAAACCAACATTTTAATACTTTATACACTCATGTTAGCATTCAGATGGATAATAAAAAGTTAGGCTACTATTGGGCCGGCTGAGTGGCGCGTTGGTTAAGAACTGGCTTCGGACGCCAGAGGGCCCTGGTTTGGATCCCACATATGAGGGCCAGTGACACTGCCCTCTATAGCTAAAATGCTGAACAACAGCTCAACCTGGAGCTAGGCTGCCGTGAGTCACCGGCGACAGCATAGGCTGCAGCCTCTGTGGCAGTGGGTTGCCATGGGCTACCATATGTAGCCAGCAGCCGCCGTGAGCGGCCGTCCAGAAGCCGGCGACTGATCTGCCTCGCCCGGGAAGAGCACAATGATGGTGCCAACTTGGGCCAGTGAAGCAACGTCCTCCACAACTAGACTGAAGAATATAACGACAGCAACTTGTCTGTTACCCTTTCCCCAATTCCCCAGCACTATTGCCATCCCACAATTCCCCAATAAAAATCTTTAAAAACAAAAAAAAGTTAGGCTACTATTAATGCTGTGTGAAGGACCTCCTGACATTGGTGAGGAAGCAATGTCTTCAAACCTATATGAATAATGTAACATTTATATGAGAAAAATGTACCATAAGGATATATATGTGAGCACAGAAAATCAGGAGCAAAGCAGCAAATCTGCCAGGATATGACCACTACGTCTCAGAGGGCAAGGCCCTGAATCTCGGGAGGGAGAATACTAGTCACTACAATGGAACTCTGCTACTAGGATGGGAGCCACGATCCCATGAATTATCAGACAAGATTATTCCACTCTCCAAACACAAATTTCACACTTACTCAACCGCTGTCTCACTTGGTACCTTTCATGGGTACTTTGATATTAACAAGTAGAGTTCTGGATTGCATATTAGTTTCCATACGTCTTTGTGAATAGCTGCCTTTTATGTTAAATCTATTTAAAACTGAACTAAGTAAGAAAGACAATAATAAGGACTAGCTACTGAACACACACAATGAACATTCCTGGGAAATCCTATAAATAAAAATTAATGCCTTAAAACTTATCTGGGGCCAGATGAGTGGCTCAGTTGGTTAAGAGCATGAGCTCCGAGCAACAGGGTCCCCAGTTTGATTCCCACATGGGCCAGTGAGCTGTGCCTGAACTGAGCTGCCGCTGAACTGTCAACAGGTGGCAGGATGGCTCAGCTGGGGAGAGCATGTGATCCTAACAACAAGGTTGTTGGTTCGACGCCCGCACGGGATAGTGGGTTATGCACACCCACAACTAAGACTGAACATGAGACCTTGAGCTGAGCGGCTGTAAGTTGCTGACGGGCAACCAGATGGCGACTGGACTTGGAGCTGAGCTAGCTGTGCCCTCCACAACTAAGGCTGAAGGACAACAACTTGGCTGTTCCCCTTCCCCAATTCCCCAATAAAAAATCTTAAAGAAACAAACAAAAAAAACTTATCTGGAAAAGAAAGTCAAATGGGTGCATTTTAAGGCTAAAGTCCTCGTGGGCTCAGGAAAATACATTGCTGCTCAAAACAAAGAATGTTCAAAGTTGCCAAATCTCAAAATCCTAAGGACTGACTTTCACTTCTAGACTGATAGAGTAGCCTGTGGCAGACAAACATTTCTGTGGAAAACAACAGGAAAATCTGAAGTGAAAAAAAAAATCTGTCTAAAGGCATCAGATGACACTGAGGCCAACTTGATAGTCTAATTTTTGGGAGAGACGGGAAATACAGAGAGGTAATCCCAACATTTAGTTGTTTTTATCTCATAGAATTTGCTGAATTCTTAAGCTTCTCAGGCAAGATTCAGAATTTTCTATAATCTTATGGTACTGGGGAGCCAAAAACTGAAGTTCAGGACCTTCCAAGGAAGGGGGGCAGGGGGCAGTCATAGCAAACATGTGAGGCTCTCATTTGGGCCTGAAACATTTAAATTATAGGGATCCCAGAAGGAGAAGAAAGAGAGCAAGATACGGAAACTTATTTAAGGAAATAATGGTTGAAAACTTTCCTGACCTGAGAAAGGAAACAGAAACCCAGGTCCAGGATGCACAGAGAGTTCCAAACAAGGTGAACCCAAAGAGACCCACACCAAGACATATTGTAATTAAAATGGTAAAAGTTAAAGAGACAATCTTGAAGCAAGTAAGAGGAAAACAACTAGTTATATATAAAAGAAACCCCATAAGGTTATTAGCTGATTTCTCAGCAGCAACTTTACAGGCCAGAAGGGAGTGGCAGGACATCTTTAAAGTGCTGAAAGAAAAGAACCTAAAACCTAGAATACTACATGCAGCAAGATTATCATTCAGAATTGAAGGAGAGATACAGAGTTTCCTGGACAAGCTAAAAACTAAAGGAGCCCATACTATTAAACCAGCTTTACAAGAAATGTTAAAGGGTCTTCTTTAAGCAGAAAAATCTATAAACAGAAATAAGAAAATATGAGAAAGGAAAAACATCTCATAGGTAAAACCAAATATTTAATAAATACAGCAAATCAAACATTTAAAAATCTATAAAGGTCAAAAGAAAAAAGTATCAAACTTGACTCAAACTACAATAAGTAGTTAGGAGATACACCACACAAAGAGATTAATACATATCAATAACTTAAAAGGAGTGGGGAGTTAAAATGTAGTCCTTACAGATATATTCAAACTTAAATGCCTATCAGCTTAAAATAGACTGCTAGAGGTACAGAATGATATACATAAATCTTATGGTAACCACAAACCAAAAACCATAAAAGATGTACAAAGAATAAAGAGAAAGGAACCCAAAGAAAACCAGCAAACCACAAAAGAGAACAAGAGAAGAAAGGAGCAGAGGAGAATTATAAAAACAATTTCAAAATGGCATATTTATCATAATTTCTTTAAGTGTAAATGGATTAAATACATCCATAAAAAGACATAAAGTGTGGGCCGGCCGAGTGGCGCGATGGTTAAGAACTGGCTTGGGACGCCAGAGGGCCCCAGTTCAGATCCCACATATGAGGGCCAGTGACACTGCCCTCCACAGCTAAGATGCTGAACAACAGCTCAACCTGGAGCTGGGCTGCCGTGAGTCGCCGGCGACGGTGTAGGCTGCAGCCCCTGCTGCAGTAGGTCGCCATGGGCTACCGTGTGTAGCCAGCAGCCAGCGTGAGCAGCCAGCAGCCGCAGTGAGCGGCCGTCCAGAAGCCGGCGACTGATCTGCCTCGCCCGGGAAGAGCGCAATGATGGTGCCAATTGGGCCAGTGAAGCAACGTCCTCCACAACTAGACTGAAGAACAAAATGACAGCAACTTGTCTGTTCCCCTTCCCCCAATTCCCCAGCACTGTTCCCATCCCCCCAATTCCCCAATAAAAATCTTAAAAAAAAAAGACATAGAGTGGCAGAATGGATAAAAAAAAAGAAAAGAAAAGACCCATCTATGTGCTATCTATAAGAGACTCACTTCAAACAGAAAGACATATACAGAGTGAAAGTGAAGGGATGGAAAAAGATATTCCATGCAAACAGAAACAAAATGAAAGCTGGGGTAGCAATACTCATATCAGATCAAATAGACTTTTTTTTAATTGGGGAATTGGGGGAGGGGAACAGTGTTGGGGAATTGGGGAGGGACCAGCCAAGTTGTTATTCTTCAATCTTCATTTTGGAGGGCGCCAGTTGCCATCTGGCTGCCCCATCAGCAGCTCGTGGCCTCTAAGCTCAAGGTGCTGTGTTACAATCTTAGTTGCGGGCCACCATCCCATGCGGGAGTCAAACCAGCAGCCTTGTTCAGAGCACATGCTCTATCCACTGAGCCATCCAGGTGACAGCTCAGCTCAAGGTGCCAAGTTCAGTCTTAGTTGCAGGGGGGCGTAGCCCACCATTGAACAGGAGCACATGTTCTCACCAGCTAAGCCATCCTGCCACCTGTTGGCAGCTCAGCAGCAGCTCAGCTTGGGTGCAGTGTCACTGGCCCATGTGGGAATCAAACCGGTGGCCCTGTTGCTCACAGCTCACACTCTTAAGCTAACTCTTAACTACCTGAGCTACTTGGCCGGCCCCAAAATAAGACTTTAAAACAAAAATGTATAAAAAGACAAAGAAGGACATTACATAACTTCTTTACACAAGAAAAGGATATAACAAATATAAATATCTATGCACCCAACATAGAAGCACCTAAATATATAAAGCAATTACTAATGGACATAAGGGAAGAAATCCACAGTAACACAGTGTAAGGACACATTAGGGACTTCCCCACATAGGCCCCTAAACTAAGATTGTAAGGTTGCAGCCTTGAACAAAAGCTCAGTGGTCAACCGAGGGAGGTTGGATGCTTGCCACTGAAAACTGTGTGCAAAGCCAGAGTCCTTGAAACTGTTTTGTTCCTCTTGAGCTAAAAAACAACTCTTAGACTAAGCATTTCTCCCTGAGCCTTAGGGGCGTGCTTGTTATTTCCTACCACCTGTTCCTCTTTTACCTCTAATAAAAGACTGAAGTCAGCTAGGATACGGGGTCAGATTGTGCTGTCTGTCTTCCT